AAATAACACAGAACTGTAGGTGTTGCCATTTTTTTCCAATTTCATTTTATGGCAAGAATAAACATAAATTCTAATTGGTCATCTTGGACAGCAACTTCTTTTCTTCACCTTTATTGAATTAGCTCCTTTGCTTTCTATATTTACTTTTTTTAATACCACTTGTGTTACAAAGTAACTTCAAACCACAGGAAGATAGATGGTTTCTTAAAGAGAACCTGTCATCAACTTCAAAATTGCAGGCAAAAGCACAGAAAAATCAAGTATTTTAAATACTTTCCATTAATTATTGTGATGAATTGTTTTTAATAGCAGTGTGCCTTTAAGCTTGCTGAAAAATGTGACTATTCCAGGAAGGTTCAATTCTGTAGCACAGCCCCCTTCTTCCTTCACATCATAGCCCTCTCCTCTTCTGAGAGTGTCTAATTACTGTCTGTGCTGCCCAAGCTCCTCCACCCTTCCCTGTCTGTCATGCAACAGTTTGCTGGGGCTGCTGAAATTACATCCAAGATGGCAGTAGTCTCCGGGCTTTTGAATGTGTACACAATGTGAGTTTGCAAGTATAAATATGTTAAATGCGCCGAAATTTTGACCACTGAAACATTTTGTCCGAAATTTGTACATTGGGCAAAAAAAAAAAACAGCGGAAAATTCAGTGTATCCTGACTGCTTCTCTCCTCCCCATTGGGCATCGATCTGTCTCCCCTTCAATGCTCTCCCCCGCCTATGTCAGCAGAGGCAGCGGGGATCCGAGGGGCTGAGACAGCTGTCACTGGAGGCCGAGCTCTCCTCCCATATGCCCCGCTTGGCTCCTGTGACAGGCAGAGAGTCCGAATGGAGAGCCAGAGCAGTGAGCTATCAGAAGGCTGATCTCTCCTCCCACACTACCGGGCTCAGCCTCCTATGACAGGCAAGTTAGGATTGAGAGCAGTTACAAGCACTCAGCAATCAGCTGATCGCTGGGTGTTTATGAATAACTGAGGACATAATATGCTTACTATTGCTCTACATCACTTCATGTCCATTCATGATTGTGGACATAATAACTTACACTATCTACACAATTTATGAATGGACAGGAACACTCAGTATAGAGGCTTCCTGTTCATTCATAACAGGGGCTGCAGAAAAAGGGATTAAGGACTGTGTCCTCAATTTATTTTTCTATTTTTAACCCCTAAAATTTCCTCAGAGCCCTCGGCAGTAAAGTAAAAAAATAAATAAATGAACAAAAAATAAAATAGTGAAAAATAATTTTAATTTTTTTAATAGGTTGATTAAAAAAATCATTTTCGGTTTTGGCCTGACAATTTTTTGTATTTTCCATTATTGTTTTGGTCTAAAAATGTCATTTCGGTGCATCTCTAATGCACATATAATCTTATGGAAAGATTGTTGTTAAAATAAATGGTCTGGTGACAGGGTCTCTTGAAATTGGCTGTCACGAAAGAAAGGTTTCTACTGTATAACTGGCTTTGTAGTCTGGCGATTTGGAATCTCCTTGTTTAGAAATTCCCAAATTCATCTACTTAGGTTCCTTGCTGTCTTCTACATATGGAGAATCATATGTATTCATTGTTAGTTCAGAGTCACTACATCACATCTGCTAATCCGATTTATTCCTGCTTTGGAAGGTTGAAACTGACTGTTGATACATCGAGCAGAGTCAAAGCAAAGTACCATGTCAAAGACTTCAGGAAATAGACACGCACACCGCACATATGAGGAGTGACAATAAAAAAAACTGTACCTCTTCAACCTCTACCCACAACAAGATTTTAAGGGAATACTGGTGCTTAGTAAGGCTCCTGTTTGCCTCCAACCAGAGGACTTAAATAAATTTTATGCGTTACACAGCTCCTTTGATTTTTTGAATATGCACCAGCTCGTGATTAAGGCCCTGAGTGGCTGGAACGCATTAGCAGTTATATGATGTCAACTGTTTGTATATTCAATAAAGCCATGAAACTTGGAACTGTGTGCTGTATCAAGTTTATTCCAGATCAACTGGAATCTGGCCGCAGTGGACTTCACAGAGCTCAAATTAAAGTGAATCGCCAGGCAAATATATTTAAGTGTTGAAAAAAGTGAGGAAGTGCTATTTTTTTGTGGTTTGTGTCTCTGTTGAGGAGGTTTCCTCCTAAATCCTGCACACAAAAAACTAATGCCACTGGGACAAGAAATAAGGGAATTCTTGGCAGACAGCAATAAAAACTTTGACTGAGGTTCTAAGTATTCCCTACTCTTTAAAAAAATTGCTGTTCAGACAGGCAGCTGAAACTAAAAAATGCAGATCTACTGCCTGTTTTTACCGACCCCATCCCCACAACTGCCCCCCTAAAAGCCAAGATAGCGGCTGCCCAGGCTTGTGTATACAGAATACATAAACAGCATTTTGTATTTGACAGGTGGTGCCACTTGTCAAACACGACTATTGCACTCAATAGGACAGTGCCACAACTGTGTATTAACAATAATTTATAAAATGGTTTGTATAGTCATTTTTAGGGATGTTCAGATACCAGTACCGATACTTGGCATTTTCTTTTTTTTTAAATCAGATAGTTTTTTATTGGCTTTTACATTTTTTAAAACAACCAACATTGACACCTGCAGTAAATTGTACATGACCAGCATAGACGTACTCAACATGGGAACACAAAATCATATACAGAGAATACAGTAGCATGTATCAAGGGCAGATACTTGGCATTTTCACAAGAACTACCAAGGTTGCAGAAGTTACAGCTGGGACCGGGCTCTGGCATTCCACCACTGTCCCAAAATCATTAATCTATATTGTTTTAGAAAAACAGTCACTTGAAAAAATGGTATCGGTGCATCCCTTTTATATATTTATTAGGGATGTTCAGATACCAAGTACAGTACTCGTAGCAAATACAAGTACACGCGCAGAAACTTTTACAGCTCCAAGACTAGACTAGAGAAAAATTCAAAAGTTAGCTGTCATTTTTAAGGAGCATACGGAGCTCTGTGATTTGTGAATCCCTGTTTTAATGTATGGATTTTTTTCTATAAATATATATAAGTGATGCACCGATACCATTTTTTCAAAGTACAAGTACTGACACTTGTCCAAGTACTCACAGATACAAGTACTGATACATTTTTGTTTATTGTCATGTGACAGTTTTTCTAAAACAATACAGACTAATGATTTCAGGACAGTGATGGAGCGCAAGAACCAAGTCCCAGCTGCAAACGCTGCAACCTTAGTAGTTCTCGTGAAAATGCCAGGTATCTTAACTGGTAGCTGAACATCCCTAATATTTTTATTTTTTTTAAACATACATTAAAACAAGGATTCACAAATCCCAGGAGCTCTGTATGCTCCTAAAAATGGCAGCTGCCTTCTAACTTTTGAATTTTTCTCTAGTCTAGACTTGGAGCTGGAAAAGTATCTGTGCATGTACTTGTACTTGTACTGAGTACGGTACTTGGTATCTGAACATCCCTAGTAATTTGATATGCTATATAATTTTTTTGCAAAAAAAATTTTTTTTTTCCGTTAAGGAAAAAGCCTTTTGCCAGCCACATCCAAGGTCTGCAGCCACAGCTACAGGTTTCAACAGGCTAATTCCTGAACACTGTGCTAGTTCTCTAGCAGTGAACCCCTGTGTAGCATGTTGCAGAATTATGGGTCTACCCTAGAATTGGCAATAGGATGATTTTGTACTGCCAGTCTCCCTTTAAGAAATATATAAATCAGATTATAATAAGGAAACCCCGTGCTGATTATTTCCTGCTAATTGGTTATTAATTAAGAAGATATTTACGGTACCATACTTTGCTCTAAATCAAGTCCTCTGGACTTATAAATTTGCTCTTAATTCCACGATCATTTCCTTTCCAAATTGGCTGTAATGGTACTCTAGAAAAAGTGTTATTAATAATTTATGTTCCATTACAGGTAGTTTAAGAACTAAAATATTCATTAGTTTTACAGATAAGCCTCACATTTTAAATCAGTCTCTGAAGAATTATGTTTGAAAGAAGTATTTAAACAACACAATAACGAAATGTCTAGCTTTAAATAAAAAATATTCAATATTGAAGTGGGACTGGTGGAACTGACATAACTCTTTTTACCCCAAAGGCCTCTCACCCTTCCCACCAATTTAGTTATAAAAAGTACAGACTTTGGAAAAGAAGTTTCATTGCTCCAGGGTGGCAGAGCCCTTGTAGTGCTCTGGCTTTGTCTACATATCTACTTCCTACCTGGCAAGGCACAGTACTGTGTGTGCTCTATCTGGACTTCAATAGACTGCTTATAGGTCCATCTGAAAACTGATATACAGGCAAAACACTAAATCCTACACAAACAGCTGGTGCACCCTTAGCTCTCAAAATGCCCACAAAATTGGTGTAGTAGCTAGCTAGCTAGTAGGTCAGTTGGCTCCTGTCTAAATGGACCCTATGTGTATGTGAGATAGGGACCTTAGATTGTAAGCTCCTTGAAGGCAGGGGCTGATGTGAATGTGCAGTGCTGTGTAAATTGATTGTTTATATAAATACCAGATATAAATAAAATGTATGTTAAAACAATAAATATAAAATCCAGTGTGGTTAGAGTCTTGGATGATTCTTCTCTAATACTGTTGGATAGAATTGCATCCTCTTGTCTCATGATATTGGGCTGTACAACTTCTCTGTAATGCTCAAATGTGGGAAAGAGAGGCCTCAGTGGTCTGTAAAGCAAGAAACATACTGATCTGTATCTCCATAGCTCTATGATCAGATACAGGGTATGAGCAGGAGTATTTGTTAATATCACATGAAACGTTATTAAAAAAAAAAGAATTCAAGGCAGGAAAAGTATCTGGCCTCATTTATAAAAGTTTCTGAAAGAAAAACTATGGACATGTGTTACTTTTCAGATTGTCTGAAAGAATACAAGTGGTTGCAATTGTCATTTTTTCAAAGATTCTAATTATTGGCACCAAAACTTTGTTATTTTGTATCTAGAGGGAATGTGTTGAAATTCACTTTCAGCTTTTTATTGTTATCTGTACCTCTGCTGAGGGTTCGCTTGTCCTTTTTGACCTGGTAACTGTTGTTACCAGGATAGAAGGTGATGGACATTTTACATTTGTCACCAAAACAGGAACATAGGGAACATTTTCTAATGGCAAAACCTGTTTTGTCAACAACTGATTAAAAGGGTTTCTTGCTCTCTTTGGAGAGATTTTCTCTAACTTCCTGTACCTCTGCAGGGCAGGAAGTGATGGGAAATACCCTTTCATAGGACACCGAAAGCTAAAAAAACAAAACAAAACAGGGGTTGGAACTGATGCCTTCTCTACCCAAAACTAAAATTAGGCTTTAATTGCACATAAAATATACATATCACATACCCTTCACAAAGGCCAATTTTGAGTTGCTTCGCAGTCAACAGTTGCAGAATGAAAGGTTTAATCTGGTTATCTGTGTCTTTTGTGTAGAAAAGTTGGTTTTCAGTACAGAGGATCCCCATGCAGGAGAGTTGTGTATGCAAATAAATGGTTATGTTTGTATAAGAGATTGTTATCATTAGTGTTATAGAGAGGCATAGAATGACCATTAGTGTTAGGACTACAGGACAGGAAGGTTAGTATAGGGATAGTGTAGGGCAGAATTCCGTAAGCCGAAAGCCCTGTGGCAAAAACTACCAGCTCTGACTTTCTGCTACTAAAGCTAATCTAAAGGCACTGGTTCTGTATAACATTTACATACAACCGTTTCTGTTTAAACTTGCATGCAGCTCTTTTAAGTTTGCAATATCCTTTCACTTCCCCTCAGGTAAAAGTGAAGATGATGAAGACGGTGGCAAATTTGAAGACAGCAAAGGAGGAGAAGACAGCAAAGATCCGAAAAGGCCTAAAAGACCTAGAACCATTCTGACAACACAACAGCGAAGGGCCTTTAAAGCTTCATTTGAGGTCTCGTCCAAACCATGCAGAAAGGTGAGCTGATACTTTGTGCTTAGTAACCCCTTTAAACCTGGTATGACAGTGAGCCACACATTCCTATGCTGATAGCTTGACCATAATGACACATATTGACTTGAGTATAATTACAGTGTTGAACTGGGGTACCTGGAGTCCACTAGAGGTAGCAAGAAACTGTTCACACCAGGGTGGTCTGTTGCATTACGTGGTGCAACAAAGTGGTATGAATGGACCCACCCCTCAAATTGGCCTACCCTCAAATTGAGCACTTTGTGGTTGTGTTTTACCATAAGCTTGGATAAGCAGGCATGGTTTATCGATCAGCTTTTCATTTTACCAACCGTAAAAAAAAAAAAAAACTAGGTACAACCTGTTTTTTGATCAAAACTGGGTTTTTTTGGGTTCTTTGGTAGCATGCTAGCTCACCCATCTGCTAGAAACCACTTCCTCATTCCAAAAGACTGCTTTTTAGGTGCAATTTTACAGGTAAAGTTCACCTGTGCCCAGAAAATGGACATTAAGGTTAGGTTTACACCTTAGTGTCTGCATTTTCCTGCAGTTTTGTGTGGGTATTATTGATACGAATTTTAGTGCTCTTTCATGCATTTTAATGTGTTATGCTTTTTTTCTGTTTGGCCAGTGAAGGGGGTGGGGTCTAGTTGTCATGCGTTAAGATATACAAAAATACATGTTACATGCATTTTTCATGAACTGCTTGGTCTCTGGGATTAAAAACGCAGGTTGATGAACCAAAAAATGCACCTGTACAATTTACCTTGCTATGCATTAGAACTGTATTGGGCAAGGAGTTCAAGCACATCCCAATAAATATGGTGTGAAAATTTAAGTTCTCCACAGTGCTTATAAATACAGAGATTAAGAAGACCTGCTTTTCCTGCTTTCTCCGAATATGTCAATACTTTAGTGTGCATGATCTGGGCACAGGTTTCCTGCATAGAGTGCACAAGTCTGAATGAACCTTGACAATGCATCAAATTCATGAAAAATACAAAAGCTTGTGTGACAATTATTGTAACTTTCAGAAATAGAAATATTTTTTTTTCATTTTCACTATGAAGTGATTGGCGAATAATGTTTAATGGAAAGCTCCATACAAATAATTCGTTTGGGGTTTAAGAAAAAAAAACCTTACCTAGGTGGGACATAATCTACAACCAAAAAAATGAACCTGATTTACTAATTTAAATTATGGGTGAAAGGTGGTTGGCTGAATCAGTCACTGGGCTCATTTCTTTTGGAGACTCATGCACCCTCTTGTAATAACTCTGTCAGGTAGAACTACCTGTGGATGTCAGGTATAGGGATCTCATCACTGATATAAAAAAAAGTATGATAAAATTCATACTGAAACTGAATTATTGGTTTTGCTGACCCCATAATTAAAATAACATACTTGTAGTAATACACCATTGAGGTGTATGTGTGTGACCTCCAAGTACAGTAGGCACCCCTTGCTAATGGTCTGCAGAAAAAAAAAGTTTAACTGCCATTTTCTATGGCGAATACATATTGTACCCCTGAGGCTACAGACTTATGCATGTTTAAAGCTAGCATTTTCAAAAAATACTATTTCTACTATTACTATTTATACTACTTGCCTGACTGCCATATTATCTGTATAGCCTAAATCTGAAAGATGACAAAATGGTCTAATGTTTTCCTTGGTGCAGGTGAGAGAGACACTTGCGGCAGAAACTGGCCTTAGTGTTCGTGTGGTACAAGTGTGGTTCCAAAATCAACGAGCAAAGGTGAGAAGCTAAGTAGGCCTTCATAATGAATGTCATATGTTAGAATGTTCAGTATTGCAAATTAATTTGATGGTATTACAATTTTGTAATAGAATCCAGAAAAGATGGAAGGGCTGCAGCATTCGGTCTAAAGCAGCCTTTCCCATACTTTTTAACATTGAGGAGCCTTTGAAATAGTGTTCCTGTTTCTGGGAATCCCTACTACTAATTACTGTATCTACAGCTGTATCTACATTAGCATAGAAGTCATTGGGAAGAATGTCCTTTTTAGTGGGAGGGCCGCCCCTGATTACAGATAGCTAAGCTCACTAGTGTCCAAAGTTAATTATTTGAGAGGGCGAAATTGAACAACAACAACCTCTGTAGGAACCCAAGGGTTCCACAGAACCTTCAATGAAAAAAAGGCTGGTCTAGAGTATCAAATATATACATAGTTTACATTTATATAGTACTCCTTATTCAGTAGTGCTTTATAGACAACATCAGACCATTAACACCTGCTTTAACCCCAAGGAACTAACGGCCTAATGTTTCTACCATAGTTAAACAGACGTGTCCATAAACCCTAGGGCCCAGAAAGTACAGACTATATATACTGTATATACATAAAGCAACCCTAGTGGGCAATAAACCCAGTCATGTAAGCCCACAGTCATGAACGTTGAGTTACTATAATCCATTTTTGTTGTAAATGTTATCTGCTGTCCAGGGTTCCTTTAGATCCCTTTCACACTGGCATTCCGATCAGGTACGCCTGTCAGTATTTCAGGCTGATCTGATCAGAAACCCAATGTTAGTCCATGGGCGGCTGGACAATGGAGACATCCATTCCAGGATCAGGAGATCCATGGAGGGATCCACCGCTGATTGGAATGGAAGACGTCTGAGGTGTGAAAGAAGGCTTAGAGAGATTTCCCCTCACTTCCTGTCCTGGTGACATTTTCCAGACCTCTCCAACTTCAATACAGACTGAAATAAAAATATTTCCCTTTAGTAGAGTAGGGTAAGCTATCACTGAGACTGTCCATGAGATTTGTACTGTTCCATAACACCATGTACAACAGTAAGACATCCCCCCAAGCATGTTATTTAAAGTATTTATATATTTTAAGGTTGCCCTCAAAACAGCATAAAAAGACCCTCTCCCCACTATACAGTATTTTTTAAACATGTTTTTGCATTAGCACATGTACCCAATGACAGTGTATAGCTTACCATTCCTTTTTTTTTTTTTTACAGTAGTTTGTCTATAAGCACTAAAAATTACCATCATTTAACAAGATTCCCCCCAAATAAACTTCAATTCCAAACAAGATTCGCCTGAACCCTTGGGAAGTCGAACCTGTGCGGATTTGCCCATTAATACTCATTGTAATATCACTGTCATAACTTTTTGAAAGAAGTGTGGAGATTGCATATTCAATACTTATATCATCTTTATTATTCTGATGCAAATACAAATAATTCCTCTTGCTGAAGTTGTGTAAAGAGTACACAATGCAGTTCCCGGACTAGATATTTATACGCTTACATTACCTGATGGAATTACTAGAATAGCATGCAGGCAAACTCATTTTCTAGAATCTTACTTGTGTGCTTTACTTAGATGAAGAAGTTGGCAAGGAGACAACAGCAACAGCAACAGCAGCAAGATCAGCAAAACCCATCACGGATACCAGCAGGTATGGTAACAATTCTTCCCGGCAATCTATGCTCTAATGAGTCAGGGACTGCCCCCTCTAGACTTTCCTGCTGCTGAAAATTTGTCCTAACTTCTACCGGAAATATTAGGTAGAGGGGTTTCCTATCACAATTATATTGCTAAGTTTTCAATTGTATGAATATTAGATAACTTACAAATCGGTTTAGTCAGGTGAACACAGATACAAAGGGCAAGCATAGGATTTTGGCTAGGGGGTTACAAAAGTATGGTATGTACATACATTTCCATGCATTACATATAAACTGTATATACTTTAATATTTAAAATGTTTAAATACAGTTTATTAAGATTATATGTTATATGTATTTGTTCTATTAATAATGCTGACCAGAAAAAAAAATGTTGCTGCAAGAGAGTGCAATTTTATAAATTTTCTTAACATTTTTAAGAGGCTTATTTTTGAAGGATGGATATTCTGAACACCGGCAACCCTCCTTTCACAGCTAAAAAGCTAAGACATATCATATTAATAATCTCAGTAATATGAAATGATTGATACAGATTGAATATAAAGTTGAAATACAGTGCTTTATTGTTGAAAAATTAAAACATTGCAATATGTCAATAAAAGTTCACCTTGCAGTCTCAAAGAACATGAGTGGTATAAAGACCAGGTCCAGCTACTTTGATGAATTTACAATGCTGAGTGCAATTATATGATCACATCTCCATTATGACAAGCTTATCCTAATTACTATGGCATGATTTGTAATAGGACCAATGCCCCAATTATAGCAATATAGCTTTACAGACCATACATGGTGGGAATTGCAATATCTTTGGAGTTTTTTTTATCATAGATTTAGTAGGTTATGCCAATGCTTAAATTACTACTTTGTTAAAGGAAACCAGTCACAGAAGAAATATGTAAGTCATTACTGACCTGTACTTCTTAAATTGCTCATTTCTTGATTGTCATGCTTAAAATGTATATACATTTAAGAACAAAAACGTGAAATGTTGTAGCTCACCAGTCCTTAGGTGTGGTGGCTGCATTCATTTCCTTTTTTCACGCTTTTCACCTTGTGATCCTATCAGTAACACACTTTCTGTCGTAGGGTGAGAACACTCGCTCACCGTACTGTGTCAATAGAGGAGGAGCATTGTCACCCTAGAACAAAAAGTGTCTTAGGATTACAGAACACCTCTCCTCATCTCCATAACATGAGGGGGAAAGTGTCCTGCAGTCCACAAGAGTTATCAGGTAGGGCCAATAACAATGTTTGAAATTTCAATATAACAATTTCAGCTCTCTGCAGGAATTTAGAAACTCTGTATTTCTGACAAGATCTACCATATTTTTTGCATTTATAAAACATATATAACAAAACTCAATGAATCGTATATTTAACAGACCAAAAAGGATCAAACACGAGAAGTTTGTGGTCAGGGTTTACATACAAATTTTAGCTTTGGCTTCAATACTTTGAGTCACTAACTCTGGAACAAATGCCATGTTCCTTACTTTTATATGTTACATGGTTAAGGTCTGTGCTTCATTGGTCTTGAAGCAGGACACAGTCGGGAATCTAAAATGTTTAAATTGAATGTCAGTCCATGTGTTTCTCTCCTGGCTGGTATTATTTTAGGAATCAACATTGAATTTGCTAGCTCTTGTACTTTGGAACCAGATTCAATTCTGGAGTTTGGAGTTTTTCTATTCTGTTCACATTTAGTAAATGTATGAAATAAAATAACAATTATTTCTTAATATCTGACTATTCTGCAGCTCAAACACACAGTTCAAGTAACTCCAGTATTGAAGGGATCATGAATGTGTTCACATCTCTTCCTCAACAACAACTACTATCTGTGGAGCAGAACATGTACAGCTCAGACCCATTCCAGCAAGGACTCACACCACCACAGATGCCAGGGGACCACATGCACCCTTATGGTAATATTCTGCTTCTGTTTCCTTCCTATATAAACCTTTTACATTATTTATGTCTTTTATTTTGGTATGGTCCATGTGTTCTGACTGAAATCAGTTGACATACATTCACCAGAATCTTCCAATATATTTCTAATTGATATATTCTTCTTCTCTTCTGCATATGGAAAGGGGTGGCAGGAGGAGGCCCATATAGGAATTCTCCACCAACTTCAGGTGTCACCTGACCTTGGGAATTCTCCACAGGAAGATATGACATATTTAGAGTAGGCCAAATTAATGTTGTTTGGGTAAGGGCTCATATAATCAGATACTTAAAGTATTAAGGGCTGGGTGTTTTTTACCTTAATGCATTCTCTGCATTAGGGTGAAAAAAAAACTGCCCAGTACCTTTTTCTCCCCTTTGTGCAAAGTTTCTAAACTCCATTTGAAAATCAGCCCAAGAGTCTGGTAATGTTGAAAGGTCTGTTTTGGCTGCAATGGGAGTAAAAAGAGATTTCTTTGCCAGGCTTCTTTGAGCTCTAACATTGTGGCGATAAAGCATCAAGGACATTGTTGTTTAACATAGAATACTCGAAAACATTTATCCTTCTTTGTATCTTAGTTACAACTGGAATAAAAAGGGTGGTATATATTTTAAAGGATATTATGGGGAGTTCATGTAAGTAGAACATTTGGTAAACAGCTAAACACACAGTTGACCTGTATACCCAAACAGGTCAATATTGCGATTTATTCTTATTTGTCACGGTGTACCATTAAAGCAGACACTCCACGCTAACAAACTGCCAACCTAATCAAATCTCTTTAATTAAAAAAGTAGATTCCCTTATAGTAAAAGGTTTCTTTCTTTATTTGTTGTCCACACTCCCTTCGCATACCGCGTTGCCATTTAGAAAAAAAACATAATCAGTGGTCGGCTTTTTTTCCTTGTCTTCTGTACCGGACCACCAGTGATGTCTGCATCAGATCTTGTTCATGAGCTGTATTTCATCTGTGAAAAAAAAAAGCCAAAAGCCCTTACCCTGGAGATCTGAAGAAAGCTCACAATTTATAAATGAGACCTCCCTGGAAGGTACTGGTGATGTAGCTTTCACAGGGATCAGCATGCAGAGCTTAGTTCACAAGGATATTCGCCGAACCTGCCAGAAATCCTGCTTCAGTGAACATCCAAGTGAACTGAACCCAGGCCGTCTGTGTCCCAGTACCAATAACCCTGTGCAACCTGCACAGCATCATTGGTTGCTAGATAGCTCACGGCTGGACCTGTAATTGGTTGCTAGGACACAAACAAAGGTTCAGCTGTTTCTTTTGGGTAAAGGTCCACATTAACTTCAGTGCATTAGACAACACTGTTCAGTTTTTTCTTTCTAAGTAACTGACAACAGTTACATTTTATCTTTTCAGGTGGAGAGACCCTGTTTCATGATATGGATAGCGATGATGCTTCTCTCAACCTGGGTGAATGTCTCTTAGCAGCACCAGAAGTAGGTTCTCTGCATTCCAGAGTGGGAAATCCCATTGATCGTCTGTACTCCATGCAAAGCTCCTATTTCACTTCCTGAAATATGATATACGTTTCAGAGATCCATCCGGGAAAATGAAATCATCTTCTACTGGAATGGTATTATCATTCTATTACACAATGAAAACATCACTGGATATCATGAGGATTTGCTACAAAACTCCTTCTGAGCTGGGACCTGATCTATACACCCTGAGCCTTCATTTCAAGAAGCGACTTGTCTGATAAGAAAGTGAAATCCGACGGACTAGTTACCCTAATTAACTGTGTGCTTCATGAAATATTGTGAAATGACTTGATATGCCATGGAAAATGCCATAAAGCAGATTATTCCAAACAGACATGTACACATGACTCCCTGGCCCATGGGCATACGTGAAGGCACTACATGAGACTTTAACTAGAAAATCCAATTAGTTTTAAGTTCTTGTACCACCAGTCATGCACTGGAAGGATATAGACTGATGAATTCAGTGTATTAGCTGCATTATCTATGACACTGATCATACAACCCAATGAGCGTTGGGCGGTATTTAATGTTGCACAGCTGTGCATTTATTTATGTAAAACATAGCTTTTTTTCTTTTTACTGTCATGTTAGAAAGGGGAGAAGATTATGTCAAGCATTTTTTGCCCATTGATTGTTCTTGGTTTAATGTTATTATTGAAATAGATGAAAAAAAAATACAACATCTTACCAGTGTTTTTATTAAGGGTTCATGTCAGCTAAAATGAATGCAGAACTTTGGCCTTACCTTCAGTTTTGTACAGTTATGCAGACTCTTCTCCATTACTAAAATTACACTGCTTTCACTGCACACTGTGAGCTTTTCCCAATGTGCACTAGAAGCCGCAGCAATTTAGATTGACAGGACGTTCACCATCATATAGCTGATGACATCACTGGGTTTAAAATAAGGTATGTAATAAAAACGTAAAGGTTGTATTTAAAAATTGTATTAGCATGGGGAGGGGGTTTCCTGGGAAGGAAAAATATAAGCAGATTAAACTTCAGCTTTAAGCAATAAGACCTATAGGGAGAGCACAGTCTACCTGCTCAGTACTTAAAGCAGAGTATTACCTAAAAAAAATACTAGCAAAAAGGCTTCTTATATGTGGCAATTATATCATCCTGGGCTGGCCAATCAAGATTGCCGAAGATGCCAAAGGAGAGTAAATAAACTGTTTTGTGTTGTGCCTGCAGGGAACTTTGTAATAAAAGACTGTGCAAATACAGAAGTAAGCAGGATATGCTAACTGAAAGCTAATTCCCACTATCTGCTGACAGTGCAGATCCACACTACAGCTGGGAAGGATACAGACAATATTGTTGGGATCCACTCGGCTGCCTAATTGACAGTTGGCTCTGCCTCTCTAGAGCCAGAACCAGCTGTGCCTGCCCCTTTCCCTGTCTATCCCTCCAATGAGCACTGGAGAGGGGGGTGGTAAATCCCTGCAGACTGACAGTCACTGCTCTCTGCTGAGAGAGGAGGCCGAAAGCTGACCGACCACCTGCGCTTTCCTCTCCTCATGTATCTAAAGTCAGCTGTATCTATCATGGCAGTAACATACTTCCTGCTCTAGGAAGGAGTGTGTACTGTGCAGTACTGTATTTATGGAAGAGCAGCATTGTCAATCTAGGGCAGGAAGTTTGTTAGAAGAACAGATTACCCCCCTCTACTTTTTTCCATAAACTAGAGGTAGGTGATCTATAGTTCTATCACACTTCCTCACAACATCGTTTAAGATGATGTTGCAGAGTGTGCAAAATAGCTCTGAACTTCTGTCAGAATCAAAATATATTTTTTGCACCTACTGAGCAGATATAACAAATTACTCTGAGTGGTATATTTGCCAGACCAAAAGTGAGCAAACAAGAGAAGTTTGTTGTTAGGGTGAAATGTGCACTGACCGGTAATTAACACCGACTGGTCAGAATCCAGCTTTTACTACCCAACTGCACTGTCTGACACAAATATATATTCTGATTGGTTAGATCCACACACAGACCCGAACAGCAATAACGCATAGTACAAGATACAAATCCCATAAAAGGCTCCAAAGCCATGCCAGCAAAGAATTTATAATATGCATAGTAGACAAAACAAGCTCTTTTCCATAACATGAGCTGAAGAATTTATAAACCACAGATAATCACAGAGTATCTTAATCCACACAGCAGGAGAGGAAATTATCCAATAATCATATTATAGCCCAGAACACTGTCTGTTCATTGTCCAGGTAATGCATATGGCTTGTAAATAAAAAAAAATTCCTGAAGTCCAGGATCACCTTAATTTACACATACTCAAATCATATTTATGGCTGAGTTAAAGGCTTACTCACTTCCATGTGGCATGAGAGATTTCAATCCTCTTGAGTGTCCTGGTAGTCCTGAGGCCCTACGGTCTCTGTTATCCAAATAGCATCCAGCTCCTGTAGTCTTGGGCTGTGGCCCACACCCCCACCAGTTTCTACATTACTGGACTATCGGTGTGATGGGCAGCTTTAATGACCAACAGTGAACCATAGGAGGATAACATTAGAGAGTAGAACCTTTGATCATAGTAGCTTAGTTCCTGTTTGGGGTATTCTAGAAGAATAGTGAATAGTGAAGCAGACATACAGCACTTGGAGGTGCCTGCCGTACAAAGTAAGTATTGCGTTATCAAGAGTATTGTACTGACAAGTTTCCTTTAAGTGGTTGTATTGTTTTAATGAAACCCATTCAAATGACTGCCTATATATCTAATTATTTTACCTTCACCCAGTGGTGTTAGTAAATCTTACCCTCGGGGGGCACCTGCGCCAGATCTCTTGCCTGGATTTAAACAACTTGCCTTTGTGGTTTGAGAGACTTGGACTTGGTAGCCCGTATAATAGTGGTTGTGGTTACTAACTGGGCCTCATTTGAGGGGTTATACCCGAGTCATTCCTATGCTAGTATTAATTGAATTTTTCATGAATACTACAAATATCTAGTGAATGCATGGTGCAGACTACTTGATGCAGTTTTTAATGGTTTTTTTTTAAATTTCAAACGGGTAGGCTGTTCTTCTCAAACTGCATCCTAACTATTTCAGTTGACAGTCGGAGCACTTTTATATTATAAGAGGGCACACCACCCTGACCAACAGCAAGGGTGGTGAGTAAAATTAAGATATAAATTGTAAAAGCTATCTCATTCCCAACTACTGCCAAAGACCATTTTGCATCAGACATTCTTCTGGGGTATTTGGATCGGTGGTTCTTTGTTGTGCTCTGTATTTACTTCTGACCACTGCACTCGGCAAGCTGTGCCATTCAGGCATTTATTACATAGCCTTGAGCCCTGTTCTCTGACTGTTCCACTTTATACACTATATTACACAATACACAGTCCTGATTGGTAAATGCTGTACACTACATAGTCTTGGCTGCTGCACTCCTTATGCTATATTGCACGTAACAACATCGTCCTGACCACCACACTGTTTACAATACAAACAGGGTTTTTCACAAAAAGGTGAAGAGTTAGGAGAAGGCAGGAGAAGTGAACAAGCTAGGCCAAAATAGCTGATTTCGAAAAATTCGCCAATTTAGCTCACTTTGCAGTTCAGCTATGTTGTCCTAGATTGTTCACTTCTCCTGCCTACTCCAAACTCTTCACCCTTTTGTGAATAACCCTAATAGTCTTTATCACGGCACTCTGTATGATATTATGTATGTTTTATATTTCTGAATAGTGCAATTCACTACATAGTCTCCTTGAACTCTACACACTGTGTTGGATATTGCATAGTCTTGACTGCTGCACTCTACAGTATATGCTTTGTTGTGCATTACATAGTCCTTACTCCTGTACTCTATACACCACGTTGTATGTTGTTTGTTGCATGGCGTAGCGGTAATTTTGTCAACAGTTGCTGGTTTTCTTAAAGTATTTCTTTTTTTTTTTTAATTATTTCGGTTTATTGGATTTTTCAGGTAATATACAAAAAACACAATACAATAACAGGGGGATGGATTTCCAGTAGGTTCGCAGAGAATCAGTGGTAAGGTGAAACAAAACCACCAAAGGATCTCTCGTAAGCTGCTCACCACTGATATGGTGAATA